CTGCCTTTGCATGTTAGACAGGCCTCTTCTTTGTCTGTTTTTAAATCACTTCTTAAAACCCATCTATTTTCCTTGGCCTTTGACACATAGTGAATTGTTGATTTTATTTTATTTCATTTTATTGTTTCTATTGTATGCTTGTCATTGTCTTATGTCTTTTAATTTAATTTAATTTGTATTTTAAATGTATGTTTTATTCTATTGTGTACAGCACTTTGTTCAACCGTGGTTGTTTTGAAAGTGCTTTACAAATAAAGTTGGATTGGATTGGATTGGAAAAACTATTTCAGATTTTCCAACATCATCTTTCCACTCCTGTCAAAGAAACCCACCTGCTCTCCCCAGCTAACATCATGGAGTTTTACACTTTTCCTTTAGGAGATGCAGTGCACCAGTTTATGCTGGTGTAATGCTATAAAATCCTGAGTCACTGTGACTTGGAAACGCCAGTGAAAATGAATATATCTCACACCGTGTCTATCTGATACGGAATAAATGTTGCGCAACTGCCCAGTATCAGGTTACAGCACGTACGGCACGGATGTCAGGTATCTGTTGAATATATCACATACAACACCTACAACATATTCTTTTTTCACTCCTCATTTATTGTACAGTGTTATAATAAATCAGCATCCTATAGAGGATCTTTAAAGCCATACTTAAAGCCATTATCTTCTAACCTAAGATTTTATAGCAACAAGCAAAATTAGTGTTCTATTGTGTATTTATTAGTGATTAAAGCTTGCATCTAGGTTTTGCAGTTCTCCAGTTTAACCAATTAAATTTAAGAAGTTTTCAAGAGATTCAAGATTCAAGGCCTTTATTGGTCACAAACACAGTTATACACGATATAACCTGTTCCACACCGAAACAACAATAAGATGAATAAGAATAAAAAATTAAACACACAATAAATAAATGAATATATACAAGAGTATATACAGAGAGAGAGAGAAATGAGCAAAAACAAATCAAACTGACAAACAGTGTAAAAGGAGAAAAAATAAATAAAGAAAATAATATAATAATAAATAAAGAAAACTCTCATATATATAAGGTAAAGTTTTGTACCTGTCTTTACAAGCCGGCTTTCCTCTTCCCGCCTCTTTTAAACTATTAGACCGCTCAGCTACAGGTGTTATTTATTTATCTACCTATTTATTTATTCATTCATTCATTCATTCATTCAATTTAAGAGACTGAGTTGTGGAAAAACTGAAAACATTACACCCAGTGGAGAAGTAGGTGGAGCAGCGAGCGCTTCCTGGTTTCTATGACTACGGTCCTGTTCCCGCGGGATCTTGCTCTAACTCTCGGGACGGCCGTTGCTATGGATACAGGAGTCACTCAGGAAGCTGTCTCTTCGCCTCCCACACAAAACAATGTCGTAATTAGCTACTAGATTGTTTACAGGGACGGTAATTGGGTAAACGACAGGTGAGTTATTTTATTATTAACGTAGTGAGGAGTTCGAAAGTTTTGTTTGGAGTTCTGGGAGCTTAATGCGACGTGTTCACGGTCATTAATATGATCATACAAGTTGTTATTTCGAAGATTCTGGCGTCTGTTTTGATCTGTTTTGACTCGTAGCTTGGCTAATTTAAGCTAGCTGTGTCACCGACCTCAGACAAACTTCTCTGTATGAAAGAACCACCTTTGAAGAAACAGAGTCTGACTTTGCTGCGACTTTCACAACTATTTCAACTTAGTGTTTAAGAAAAAATGTAAAACTAACACAAAGCCAGTGCTCATCTGACTGCAGGATACAAACTCCAGACATTATTCATGACTGAACGTGATGTCTAGGATTGATTTCTGTCGTCTTTTCCCTCCTCTGTGAGTTAGTTATTTTCTCCTTGTGCCACACTTGATAGATCATGGAGCGTGATGGTCAGCTGAACGACTTGCGGCTTCAGTTCCAAACGCTGCAAAAACAGCAGGAGAGAAGACAACTGGACAGGAAAAAGGAGAAAGACCCAGATAAGCTTAATGTCGCTGATGCCCAGGATGGTTTGGATCTGTCCAAGCAAGACAGTCCCAAAGACAGGTGAGCGTTACCAGAGAGGAAGTAAGCTGTTCACCTTCAGCGTTGACATTTCATCAGTCATCCTTGGGTGATTAACTTGCCTCTACAGGCTGCTGCAGAGTGAGAATCAGGCGCTGCTGGACCAGCTGAGAGAGCTAAAGGATGAAAACGGTCGACTCTTCAAACTCCTGAGTGAAAAAGATTTTGAAATTAAACACCTGAAGAAGAAAATACAAGAAGACAGACTGGCCTTAGCAGGTAGAAATCCATAAGTTCTACTTATCTGTGCACAGCAGTGTTGTAGAAGTACAACAGCCTTTTCACGTCTCGTCCTCTGCTTCATTTAGACACGTCGGGGTTGGCGGGAGCTGTAGCTGCCACCAAGATCATCGAGCTTTCCAAGAAGAACAGAGAGCTCAGCGCTAAAATCGAGCAAGAGAAGATCAAAACCAAACAAAATAGCAACAGAATCAAAGAGCTCGAGAAAGAGGTGAAGTTTTGCTGTGGATGCATCACGTAGTTTATTTAAGTGTTAGAAATTAGTTTTAAACTGTGTGCAAAGTTAAATGTTTTGCCCGTTTCTGTAGCTGCAGGCTGCTTTGCTAAACTCACCACCCGGACAAAAGACTGACACGAAGTCACTGGAAAGGAGCTCATTGGAAGGCTGTGAGGTAAACATCAACACAAGCACTCACGAAAAGTATGTACTCATGTTGTCTTCCTAACTGAAATGAGTTACTTGTTCTCAACAGCAGGAAGGTCCACTGGTCAAATCCCTGCAGGAGAAGTTATCAGCTGCCCAACTGAAGGTGACTGAGTATCGCAACCAGCTTCAATCCGCCAAACAGGAGCTGAAAGTAGCCCAGAAGGTAGGAGGTCTATCCTTTTTATGCCTTAGCTGTATTTTCTTGACAAAAGCATCCCAGATGTTCGATTAATCACCGGTGACCTCTCGGTTCTAATGTACAACCTGCTGCAGGTTTTGATCAGTGAGTTGGGAGAGGAGGTCAACCTTCAGCAAATGCTCAGCTGCCCTGGAAACTTCCGAGGTCGCTCCCAGCAGATACTGGCTCTTCAGACGAGGGTAAGCTAAAAATCCAACGATGACACGCTTTTCAAAAACACAGGACACCTGAATTTAACAGAGGAGAACCTGGCATTGTTCAACAGGTGCGGGACCTCGAGCAGCAGCTGAACCAGTCAACTCTGCAAAGACAGTCAAGTGTCCTGAGTTTAGAGGAGGAGCTTCTGGGGTGGGGTGTCCCTCAGAAAACCCCTCCTCAAGACAGGAACCTCATCTACCTCCGCTCCATCAAGAAGGAGAAGAGAGAGGCATTTGAGGTGCGTGAACTAAAATAACTGTGAATAAACTGAAAGCTGAATTAGTAAAAGTACCAAATCCCTGCTCTTTTTTCTCGTAACTATGCAGCGGATCTCAGCGGACTACGAGGCCCTCTTGAAAGAACACGAGGATGTGAAGAAAAAGCTGGAAGCTTCCAAAGCCAGGAGCAAATCTCTAGCCTTTGAAATGAAAACTCTGAAGGGCCAGATCGCCACCTTAGTGGAGAAGGGAAAACATGATGATGAGCTGATGGAGGCTCTGTTGGTAAGACGTTACATAAGAAACAAATACGTAGTTATAGTCATGAGGGTGTACTGGGGCCTGTTAAAGTAAAATCCTTGAAAAACTGAGGCCAAATTACTATGAATTTATTTTTCCCTAAATCACAGACTAGTATTCAAACTGCTAAACTGCTGTTTGTTGTTTAGAGTTAAATAGTTTACTCCACATTCATGAATTTGAACAAGCCACAGATTGGAGACAGGAGGATGTTCTGCTCAGGATGGGCTGATGCTCCACTACATTGTTCTCACACATCTTTTTTGTACCTCCGGCAGAAGCAGCAGGCCCAGATGCAGAAGGTGCTGACTCAGCTCAGCCAGCAGCAGAATGTCCAGAGCAAGAAGACCCAGAGGCAACAGCTGAACAATGAGGAGCAAAACACCGTCGCCCTGAGGCTCCAGAAGCTGGTGGCTGAGAAAGATGTCCAGATCAAAGAGCTACAGCAACTCTCTGTCAAGGTAAAACAGACAAAGAATGTGTTTTTGTGCCTACTTTATTATGTGAGATTCAGTATTATGTATTTATTACAGATGGTGAAGGAAGACGGTGTGGACACACGGTCCAGCAACAGGACAACAAGTTGCAGTTCAGGGTTTCCCCCTGAAGAGGGAGACATTAGCAAGGGATTTGCATCTTCAGGGTGTGTGTGTTGAGGGTAATCATGCTGAATGATCATTAGAGGATGTAGATTGTTAGTTTCCTTGAACAGAATTAGTCACTGACTTTAATTAATACCACCAGTTTTGTGATCTTTTATACATCTTAATCTCCTGGGGTTTCTGGCGTAGAAACACTGAGGTATTTTCTGGCAAACGAAGGGTTAATATTTCTCTCTGCTAATGGGGGACTTTCTGTAATCAGGTTATTGATTTTTTTTTGTGATGCCTCCCAGTTTTGTTGTTGTACTCTGCTGGGATTAATATGACTGGCTGTCAACCGTTTTTTTCCAGCTCGGTTTCTAAACTCGGTCATAAACTGGTGCTGCCTGCTGTGAGGAGCAGTGCAGAACTCAAGTAAGTGGATGTAATGATTGTCTATTTATACCATTTATGAATCACCGTAGCGTTCTCTGTGTGGACGAGCCTTGAGGAGCTGCAGACAAAGTGATGTACTGGAGAAATGTTCTAAATTTATTGCTCAGAGTTTTCTGCTGTCAGCTGGTGTTGAAATGTGCTCGCTGGAGAAGCACAGATTGAAAAATATCACTTCGTCTCTTGCCTTTAAAACATTTTTTATTGATTCTAACAAAATACAAACAAACAGATGAACACTTTGTGCCGGCGGCTGATGGAGTCTGACACTCGGGAACAGCATCATTACGCTACCACTCTGATAGGCTGTTCATCCAAGATGGTGTTGAATGGCTGTTTCTTTTTTCTTTTCGGGTGAAAATAATACACTCCTAGCCTACTTTAGTCATCACATATAATGCTCATGTCATAAAATATCAGTAATGCTACAACAATGGTCCAGTACCTCTGCACTGAGAGTTCGTTTATGCCGCTAAAACATATAAAACAAACAACCATCCATAGGGAAAAATGTGGTTTAAATCTGAATAGAAGTGTCAAATTCAGACATCCGGTTGGTTTATACGTGTTTATGTTGAAGCCCCAGACATTGTTTTCTGAGCAGGTTGTTTCCATCAAGGTTTGTTATTCATTTAATCAAAATAATGACTGAGAGGTGCATTAAGACACTAATGAGAGCTTTATGGGTTCCTTTATAATCTAAAGCTTATTAATAAAAGCTGTATACGCCCCTACTTAGACTTATCAAGCTAATCTTTGTTTAAGTATATACAACTGTACGTATTTATGTCTATTTGCCAATCAGAAGCTTCATTAGCCCGTCTCTACGGGCTCGTTATGTTCGTTTTAATCTAACTATCAAAACCCTAATTTGTTTGAATCCTCCAGAGAGAAGGAGCCGAACCAGCTGCATTCGGAGGCTGAGCAGCAGCACCAAGAGGAGCGTCCCAGCGCCATGACGGTGGAGCAGGAGTCACAGAGGACAAGATTACATTCAAAGTAAGGACCGATGCGCCGAGGCTCAGCGACACCGTGATGCTGTCACAAGATTTTCATCTGTCGCCGTTTTTCTAATCACATTCTGCCTTATCTGTCCTCCTCGGGTCTATCGCACCCTCACAAGCGTCGTCCTTCAGCACCAGGACGGCAGCAGTTTCTGACTCTGAGCAACAGGAATAAACTGTCCAACAATCCAGCTGGCAGTTGTGAACATTTTTTTATGTCTAGCTTTGACAGCACAGTAGATGCCTTGAACTGGTTCTGAAAACATAGAATTTTTGCTTTTTCCAACCATAAAATTTCACCAGAAATAATGACTGGAAACTCTGCCCAAGACAGCAGTCATTCAGCCCGCCGTGTTTGGGCTGCACAGAGATGTTCATGTTACTCGTGTATGTTGTCTCCCGGCTGGTCATTCAACTGGAGGAAACGGGGCCGCTGAGGGCGTCCCTAAAGAGCACTCTCCATCACGGCCTGCAGCTCTGCAGTGACGTGATGAGACAAGTCAAGCATGTTTTCCTGCAGGCTCTGGGACAGCACAGACAAGACACTAACCAGGGGAAGTGGCTGGTCCCTGCTCAACCTCACTTCCAGCTGAGCCTACCTTCTCCTGTCACATGTGACAAACAGCAGCCTGCAGGAAACAGGCTCTCCTGCTCCGCCACACAAACATCGTATGGATGCCTGACGTCCAAACCCTCAAAGACTGCTTGTGACGGCGAAGTTGGGTAGCCTCAGTTTAACAGCTTGAGCACCTTGAGTAGCAGAGCTTTCAACTTAACCCTGATGGCATCAGACAAGCGTTCCTGGTGACTGCAGAAATGTTTGACGCTGATAGGCTGTCTCCCTGTAGTTTCATATCTCGTCTGCTCGCTGCTTTGTAAATGTCACTGCCACATTTTATTAAATAAATGCACATTGTTTCCTTCCATGGTAACCTTATAGGTACAGAGACCATAATGTCTGTTTTTAAAGTGAAGAAACATCCAAATTAATAAGCGATTGAATGTTTTGAATACATTGTTTACCGTCACGGCTATGACTTTCCTCGACTTTTTCCTTCTTCTGGCTGCAGATTGTTGATGCGTGACAGGCCAGTCCAAATAGTAATCATCCCAATTAGGCTCCCAAATGTTTAATATTCCTGTTAAATATTACCACTAATTATTTCTGACTCGAAACCAGCTGCGTGGGAATAGCGGTCGCACATAAATGCGGACTCAAGCTGCACAAACTCCCACTGTAGTCGTCAATGCGTTCCCCAGAGCGTGTCGCTCATATACAGTATGTGATCCCTGAGTCTCCATCCAGAGGTTGCCTGGATGGGAGCGGCCCCCACATTCATGCTAACATTATACTAACATCCGAGTTATTTTCTTCCGATGTAGCCAAAAGGGTTTGGGCCCCCACCTCCTTCTCTTCCCTCTCCACATCACGCTTAATTTAAAACCATGGCTGAGTTAGTGTGCAGCTTCAAATACCGCACTATTTCTTCCAGGACCCTGTGGGAGATTGGCAGGTCCCCATTGGACCGAGCGAGAAAGTGCCACAAGACAAAAATATCAGAGTTTGGACGTGATGAAGAAAGCCTTTATGCTCAGAGTAACAAAAAACAGCTTGTGTTGAATACCTCCTGGATGGAAGGCGAGGCGGCCTTTAATGTAACGGCGTGAGATGTGTCGTCGGTCGGAGGAGCAGATGAGCCTCCTGATCGGATGCCCTGCAGGACTGGCAGATACGCAGCAAACAGGGCAGCGTGCGTCAGAAAGGGCGCTGATGGAGCAAACGCATGTCACGGTCCCAAACTGCATCCGATTCCTGGAAAAAAAATGTTGAACTTAATACATTTTTGTTTGGTTATTTCCTAAACCCAAGTCAGTGTTGGTGCAGAATGCTTTACATAAAGTGTGATTGCTTACACAGTAATTAACAGAAATAAGGCGACTGCTGCCAACTTTTCAAAGAGCTTCGCTGCTGTTCAATACTCGTGTTACTGTGTAATTGCAGTTAATCAAACGTCAGATTAATACGACTACTCGTGTTGACTTAAGTTATTTAAGGGTGTCATCACTTTCAAATAAATTACACTTCACCAAACAATTTTATTATTGTTTTATGTAGCTGTATTACGCAGAAAGGTGTAGATTTATTCCAAAATGCCCAATAACCCACCAAACCAAACACAAACTTATGTAAACACAGCATACGTAAACAGCCTCACCTATTTGTCATTCCAGGTTTGAATGACTCCTTTCTCCATCCTTCTCCTCAGAGGTATTCCCTCGTTCTGGACCAATGCTTCCTGCAGACCATTGACTGCATCCAGAAACTAAAGTAAATAGTGGAGCTGTGAACGCAGAGGTTAAAGTTAGCCATCAGTATATGAGGGATCTGTGAACTTTACTCAGGCCAGAAAACGGTTTGTGCCTCTATGAGTCCATTCATCTCATGGTTGCCCCTCATTTACATGTAATGGAAAGAAAATAAACAGCGCAGCCCTAATGTGCTCATTTACAGTAAGTAGAAATAAAGTAATGACTTGTTATCTTTGCCCAGACGGCCGCGAAGCAGCGATAAGCACTTATTTTTACAAGTGCAGCCATCAAAGTCTACAGGATGCGTTAAATTATTGTTGGAGCTGTTACAAGGAATCAAATGTGGAGCGCTTCACCCGCGATCCACCGAGAGGAGACGAGCTCATCATCTGAACTGGGTTCTCTTTTAAGCCTCTCGCTCCCTTAGTTCAGACTTTTGAAGTTACTGATCTCCCTCAGTTCCCCGTCGCACAGCGCTGACTCGGTGTGCTCTTTTTAGTAATCTTGTTGATTCCCACAACTTGAAAAGCAAGAAGCATCACTAGATGGCAGTGTGGTCGGTCGGACCCGATGTGTCGACAACTTTTAGCGTGTTTTATGGACATCATGTGATCCGAGGACAAACATGTCAGTTGAATGTTTTTTTGTTAAAGTTATTTTTTTTGGCCTTTTTGCCTTTATTACGTAGGACAGTTAGAAGAGAGACAGGAGAGTGGGGGAAGGGGTTGCAGCAAAGGGCCGTGAGCGGGATTCAAACCCATGGCTGCTGCTTTAGAGGCTATAGCTCCTGAACATGGGTCGCCAGCTCAACCAGATGAGCTACAGCGGCGGCCCAGTCGAATGTGTTTTTAATGGAAACATCACGTCTGTGCAAAATCAGTTTATTCGCTTCCTTTTAACTGCCTTTATCGTGATTCAGTTGTTACTATTGATTTTCTTGTTAGTGCACTGAATAAATAAATAAACACCGATGCAGGCGCTTGACTTAGTCTCCTAAAAAATGCAGACAGGAATGTGCATCACAGCCGAACACAGCAGCTGCATTTTTGATACTGAGACACTTTGCAGGACAACGAGTGCAAAGTGACGCTAAAACGAACCGACTGAGCACCGGGGACGGCGTTGCTCGGAGAGCTGGTGTGTTTTGACAAACTGCAGCTCCTCGCTGTGTGCCCTCCACGCTCGGCCACTACAGGCCGCCGCCCTCCTCCAATCACTGCAGCCGTCACTCTTGACTCTTGGCTCGTCCTCATCTCATCGTCTCATCCACTCAACAATTTTCTCACTCTAAATTGAATTGCCTGCCACGTCCTGTCAAACTTGAGAGCAATCAATTTCTCCCGGAAACAATCCACCTTGTTTCTGATCGTCGCCTTCGTGTTGCTTCTTTAATCCGGCGTCCGGCGCTTTCCTCACAATGTTGCATTTTAATGCGCCTCCAAAACTGGCAGACCCACAAATACGAATCTAAAATATTGTGATAGCAGAGCTGGAAGTTTGAATCACTGGTTGTGAATCCATCATCACTGGTGCAGATATCCTCAATATTCCAGCCAGCAGCCACGTAAAGCCTCGGCTGTTGACTGGAACAGCAGTGACGCGAGAGCAAGTCCCTCAACAAATGAAGTTGTTTAACAATTCCCTCAACACATGCTGACACAGCGACATCGACATTTTGCTCACGAACACGACGACGATCTGCAGCCTTCTGGATAGCAGGCTGCTGATTATTGTAGTTTTCTCTTCACAGTGGAGAGAGACAGAAATAATTGGGAGAGACGACGACGACACACCAGCCGAGACACCAAAGAAAGCTGTTTATTGCTCAGAGAACTAGTGTGTGTGAATGCTTTATGAATATCAATGTATGATTATTTGCTTTGACACAACACTGATTAATAATTAATGCCAGTGTGTCAGGTTTGTGCAGCGGGCCATGCAGCGGCAGAATACAGTCAAATATGATTAAACCAGCAGCGAGACAAAACAAGATGCTCTCTGATACCATCTGCTTTAAGTGTTTTGTTCGTCTCGGCTGCTGTGTCCTAAAAAAAAACTGTATTACAGCATTTCCAGACCTTAAGTGGAGACTCTACCGCCTCGCTTGTCCTCAACTCCCCCGACGCCAGGCATTAATGGCCCCAACTGTGTTGATTCTATTACATAGGATTTAGCTCAGCAAATAGGATGAAAATGTCAAACATTCAGCCCGTCCCGCCGGAGCAGACCTTTTGACTCACAGTGTTACAATCAGACAAGTCATCTGACCTTCTGCGTTTAAAGCCTCGAGTGCAACATGTCGTCTTTGACCCAATTTATTTATTTATTTTACATAAAATACAGCACAGTACAAGATAGTAATAGAAAAAAAATATATTTATCCTGAAAGCAAGGTCATCTGTCCACGGATGTTTACCACATGATGCTGGTGCAGTTTTTAGCATTCAAAGCAAGAAGGTTCTGGAACCTGAAGCCCGTCTGTCCTTGTGTGCACAGTCCAGAGATATGCACGGCAGGTTAATTGGTTATTCTGAATTGGACGTGAGTGTGAGCGTGCATGGTTGATTGTCTCCTCGTGTTAATATGCGATGCGCTGGTTCAGGCTCCATCTCCCCCTCGACCATCCACAGCAGGTAGAGTTAATGGATAGATGGCTGTTTTGCATAGTGTTATTCATCATAATTTACAAATAATGCAAACTTGACTTTAATATGTACTTGACACCAGTCCCACAGCATCACTCAGTTGTTTACTAGACACTCTGCTAATACCGGTTTCAGTTTTTAGTCCTATTAGACCGTGCTAGGGATGTCTAGAGTCCTGAAAGGTGGCAGGCAACTTTCAACTGATTGGTATCTGCATAAACCTGAGCCCATTCTGTTTGGCATAAGTCTACTGTCAGGAACATTCATATAAGAATAGAATAGAATAGAATAGAATAGAATAGAATAGAATAGAATAGAATAGAATAGAATAGAACTTTATTGATCGCTTTGATGCAAACCTCAGGGAAATTGTTATCGTTAATCTGAAATTGTAAACGCAGCATTATCAGTTAAAAACTGATTTATGTGTCTTACAAATGGACTACATTGGATATTTAACTCATTCTGAAGCTGCTTTTTAAACCAACAACACCTGATAATAGCCACCGAGGCAGCAGTTAGAAATAGAACCCTGACTGAACCTGAATTGGTTTGATATAGGGCTGCACGGTGGCTCAGTGGTTAGCACCGTACTGCCTCACAGCTAGAAGGTCGCTGGTTCACATCCCGGTGAGGACACCCGAGATCTTTCTGCATGGAGTCTCCATGTTCTCCCCGTGCAGCGTGGGTTCTCTCCGGGTTCTCCGGCTTCCTCCCACAGTCCAGAAACATGCTGAGGTTAATTGGTGATTGTAAATTGTCCGTAGGTGTGAATGTGAGTGTGCTTGGTTGTCTGTCTCTAAGTGTAGCCCTGTGATAGACTGGTTACCTGTCCAGGTGAACCTGCCTTCACCCTGAGTCAGCTGGGATAGGCTCCAGCCCCCCATGACTCTAGTGAGGATTATGCGGTGTGTAGATGATGGATGGATGGATTGATGTGCGCATTGGACAGAGGTCATGAAGTGTCACAGAAGACTTCATCGTGTCTTGGTTCCACTTCTACGAGCTAAACTCCTGTGAGGCACCGACACAGACGTGGTCAGTGTCGTGTTAAACAGTAAGAGGCTAGCCCTGGTGGTGCAGCCAGCTCCAGCAGCTGATCTACAGAACCTGAAGTGTGTGTTACCGTATCGGACTGGGACTTGTTCTGGGGCAGATATGTAATAAATATATAATAAAATGTCTAATAAATATTAGATGACGCCGATAGGTTCTGGGGCAACAGAAACTTTGACTGGCACATCCCTCGACTGTGCATTTTTTATTTATTTCAAAGACAACAATTGATCTTATGAAATAATGATATACTGTGTGTCTCCTTTGGTCCTCTTGGTACATTTTCTCTGTGTAAAAGCCCAAATATCTATCAGTAAGAAACACTTCAGAGCACAGAGAACTGGCATTAAATCAGTCAGACAGGAAGTTAGTCCCAATTTAACAGGTTTTTAAAATTAAAAAAAAATTTTTTTTGTTGCATTTCCCTTTAATCATAGACACTCAGTTTACAAAAATAAAGACGCATTAACATGGTTAATAATTTTTTTAAAAAAAGTTGCACCAACATCTGACATGAGCGATGTGACCGTGATATAAACAGATGTCTAACATCAAAAGGTTGTGAATCGGCTGCTTACTGTCTTTACAACTTACTCTGATTACAAATGACTTGAGACACATCTTCATTACCACCATATGTCGTTTCCCGACGGCCCTTTTTGTTGCTTAAATACAAAGATAAAACACAGTTTGACAGACATTCCTCAAATGGACCGTAACATATCACGAGTTTAACAGAAAACTATTAAATGATAATAACTGAATATTGGTGCAACCACAGAAAACAACCGGCGGGTTTTCATTTGCCACCGGCTGGATGTGGCCGGGCTGATAAAGCACCGTGATTACATCCACCTCTAACAAAAGCCAATCACCGCCAGCTAGTCCTGACAATGGCTGCAGACGAGGGCTCTTATTATCACCAAAAACCTTTTCCTTCGATCATAATCACAGAAGTCACATTCAAGTGTGCTACGTATAAAGTCCGTCTTCGTTCAGCGCCGGTTCTGTGGTGATTACTGGACGTCTCACAGTGTGTTCAGCTTTAAAGGAACACTTCAAAGGCGTCTGTTTTATAACTGATAGTTAAAGACTCACACAGGACTGTAGGACGGACAAATGGAACCATAATGACATAGAATCCACTTTGACTAATGGCCTTTCATGTTAAAGGACCTGCCACCAGACGGGAGGATGATGCTTGGATCCATGTGGAAAGCATTTTTGTGCCGGATGCTTCAGTCATTTCACAGAAACCTTTTTTGTAATCTGTGAGCCTTTCACTCATATAGCAGCAGATGTGAAAATTAGATAGTAGCTCACATATAGCATCAGATAGGACGGGGCTGGATATCTGACCCTGAAAGCCGTCCTGACAATACGGCCTGTTGGTGATGAAAATGGTGACATCGTGCGACACCAGATATAGAAAACATCGACCGGTGGGAAGCAGCAAAGCCGGTCCATCATTATTTTATATTAACAATTGATCAGATGAACGTGTGTCATTCTGAAGGTGGTGCCTGCAGAGAATCATCACCCACTGTTTAGCTCTTCTGAGGGTTTTAGCGTCTATTTTTGAGTTTTCTCTTCTCTTATCTCCGGATACAGCAGGCGGCTGTTTTCAATAAAAAAAAATCTGGACGTAGATGAACATTCAGCAGCAAAAGAGTCAAATTTCTGCAAGAGTTTAAAGGAAACACGACTAAAAAGAAGAAAACTATGGGACTTCAATTCAGAAGGTGGCCAGAACCTCGAAAAAACTCAACAAGAGACCAGAAAAGCTTCTTTTTTTTAAACCAAAACATTAATAAGCTTATAGAAATTGATGCAATAATATAGTTTGAGTCACTATTTTGAGCTGTATAATAATTTCTTACACCCGTCTGTCATAATAACAGATTTACACGTCACCAGAATGACTGTAACGTCTAAAAGTTGTGCTTTTGATATTATATTATATTTTAATCGTGATGTTCCTCATCTTTACGTGTGGATTATTCCTTTCACCAGCAGAATTTTTTAATGTTTTCTCAAAATAAGAGCAGCCACGTGCACAAATAACAAACCAGAAACCTGTAAGTAGCATTAAATCCTCTTATGAGTTGAAAAGAAACGACTGCAGCCAATCAGTTTGACGTCTTCTGTCTTTTTTCCTCCTTCGGCAGGTGCTTTCTGGAAACACTGGACTCCACACGTCCTGTTTCTGCCACACTGACGGGGAAAGAGAGGCTGTGAGGATTTTTACACCCCAGCCAATAGAGATGATGACTCACAGCCATTTGCTTCGCTGTCCTGCGCAGGCCGACCTCATCGTGGTCAACCGCCCATCCCCCTCCGAGTTAACCGCCTCAGTCGGATGAGCTGGCTGTAAACCACACCAGGTCTATTAATTAATTAATGTACCCAAACTGCAGGCTTCAGCTCCCTCCATTGTAGCGGGAGGAGGCTCTCAGCCGGTGTGTTGTGGCAGAAAGGCAACAGATAGATAGAGGAGCAGGGAGTCAGACAGAAACAGGGATGGGAGGAAGCCTTCAGCGCCACACTCACTATTAATCACTGGGGGCCATTGTGGTCCCGTCCTGTAAACGGCGCCAGTGCAGGCGGGCGGGCAGGCAGAGAAAGAAGAAGAGGAAGAAGAAGGAAGGCGAGAGGGGGGCAGGGTGGCTGTAGGGAGCCAGAGGAGGAGAGAATGGTTGGGGATCAGCCTGTCTGCCCACCTCAGCTCCTGCTGCGGGGCTGGGGAACAGTGCTGCTGTCTCAGTGCATGTCCTCCGTGTTCTCCCAGATCCCGGATCCTGAGGTAAGAGCATCATCACGTCCTCCACAGGTTCCTCTCACCACAAACAGACGTCCTCAGGGTTTCTCTGTAGCCTGCATATATATGTGTGTGTGATTTACGCTCTTTGTTTGGTCGCCAGAGTTGTTGCTTGCCTTTCTGGGAGAGGAGAGTAGTGAACCTGTGTTGAAATCTGATCCATGTCACGGAGTGACAGCGACGGCCAAGCAGCACATGTTTACACCGGCGTTATTAGGGGAGGTGGCGATGACTGGTCCTGCTGGCTGCTTTTGTGCTTTTGGGCTGAACAGAAGACAGTTAGGTTGCAGGGGATTTACACAACAGCAGCTGGTATTCATCATGTTTTCAAAAAGAAAAAAGAAAAAAAGGAGGAAAAGAACAGATTTCTTTTATTACAGAAAAAAAATGAGTCAGTGGTTGTAGTTAGTAGAAACACACTAGAAGCAAATAAACAAATCTGCCGTGTAATTACAGCGAAAAGCTTATTAAATGATGACTGAGGGCAATGTGAGTTCTGAAACATGGATAATGAGTGAAGCCATGCACTATGTTCCTGTACACAGTTATAAGAAGGCATAAGATTCTGAATTATTTACATTTTTTACCTCTATTAGCCTGTTTTGCACCTGAAGTCTGAACTGCTGTAAACATAGAGGATCAGCTTCTCCCTGTGCCACCTTCAGACTTTTGAATCAGAAAAAGGTGAAAAAGCATGAGTTGGTGACAGAAGATGTTTAAAATCCTGTTTCCTGTGGAGGCCAGATTTGCTCTTTAGTGGCTAATTAGCAACAGCAACATAAACTAAATGCAGATTCGTAAACTCGGCTCAGTCTATGTGCACACTTTTCTTCATTTAGGTGTTAATCCTCTGCTCAATTACACTAATCGTCCTTGATTAGTCCGCAGAGGATCTCCTCAGAGAAGCAACAAAACAAAACTCTTATCTGAGCAACAATATCCAAACATGCCGCTGAGTATTTCACAAAAAAAAAACAACATCCAAGGAGCTGAAATGTGCAATGGATTTGGGTGTATGATTAATTCGAGGTAACTTGAGGTCAGCGTGCTTCAGAGTTTGTGTTGTTTGTTCCACTAAAAGAAAACTTGAGGCTTATAACCACTAATCCCGCCACATGAAATGCCCCTCCAGAGGAAAGGGCTTTGCATTGCATAATCACTCTTGAAGAAAAAAAAAAAAAGAAAGTCGTTGTTAAGAGCAGTGCTAAATATCCTCATTGAGGCTAATCCGTCCGTGGGAGTTACTCATGCACAGCGTAAAACAATCTTCTTTTTCCAGGTTGTTTGTCTGTGTTTGTGTGTGTTTGTGTGCAGCCTTCACTTCTCTTCTTGTGTCTTCTGCAGCACACAAACAGCACAGAAGCCCTGAAAACAGCTCACACTGTCACGTTTAGCCTGTTGGCTTCCTGAAGCCTATCAGGGCAGACAAGTAGAACATACAGCAGGTTGTTTTGCCCCGGCGCTTGAACAAAGGAGGAGAGACATATTCTGGATATGTTCTAAGATCACAGTAACATGCAATGATTTATCTGGGTCCCACCGCATGAGATCAAAGAAACACTTACATTTACAAACAGTAATTCCAGACACTTAATCCCATCATTTACATACATGCATGGCTTTTAGATAACAACATTTACTGATTTTAATATGAAAACATAACTTTAAAAATGTTAGTAATTCCATCAATATAATATTTTGTGTAATTTAAACTCGATTTTCTGCATTTGTTGAATCAAAACTGAAATTCAAGTTGATGTAACTTAAAGAAATTGGCTTTATGAGTTCAGGACTCTTCTGCTAAAAACTGGAGCCAACCTGAAACCTTGTGTTCATCATAATGAACAACACACCAGAAAACAGGAAACACTTGTTGGAAGAACCTAATTTTTACAAGTAGTCAACTTAAGACTTGTGGCTTTGCTACCAGTCATTAAGTAATTAAAGATACCTTTGATTAAAGAGGAAAAACTAATTCCACAACACCAGGTAGTTTGTTGGTTAAACATAATTTCATTCCCTGTCTGAACACTCCTAGTGAGGATTAAGCGGTGTATGGATGATGGATGGATGTCTGAACACTGCTGCAGCAAACATTTGCTTTAGAGTGTGTTTTGTTTTCCACCCAATCAGAACAGTGCGTTTTGGTCAAACTGAATCTGCTCTTTTTGGTATTTTATTAGATTTTTACCTTTACAACAAAGCAAATACATTTTTTTAATCTAATCTTATGCGGAGCCTCTTTCCTTGGTGTCACCATCTTGCCATAAAACATATTTTCTAATTCACCGCGTAACAGTCTTATCAGTAAAAGAAGCAAATGCAATAAATGTCCATTTTTTGGATCCATGGCTCGTTGGTTTATGGACTAAAGCATAGAGTTTCCAAAACAATCTTGGATCATCACATTAGGCGATCGATGTACAGTAACGAGAGAGAAATCCTCTGTGATTTTATCAGGGAACCGGTGCTCTGCCGGCTTCAGCAGCATCGATCCAAGCCATTGATTGAGCACAAAGACATACATATACAGGCTGTATGCTTATTGTTCCCCAATCCCCAGCTCAGCAGAGAGCTGCTCTGAAATGTGGAAAGCATTTGATTTGGACACTACCGAGAGAATTAAGAAACATTATGAAAGATTACAGAAAATGCTAAAAGACAAAGTCTGGACGGCAGCTTACTCTGGTTGCATAATTCTGCTTGTTTACAGGGATTTAGAGGACGTTCAGGAGGGTTAGGGTTCAGTTCAGGCTCAGAAGTTCAGTTCAGTCAAATCGAAATGAATACTAACTACACTGGGTTTAGGGGTTGTCAGGATGAGGTTGTACAAGATGCACACTTGTGGGTGGATTGTACTGCAAGGAGACAGGATCGATTTAGGAACTTATTCTGGTAAATGCGTCGTTCATATTTAAACTGTGTTGGTGCATGACTGCAAAAACAACATCTACAGTGAAACCAGAAGTTTACACACACTGTATAGAAAGATTCATAACCTTTTTATTCTCACTGTCTGACATCAACTCAGACGAAACCTTTCCTGTTTTAGATCAGTTGGGATCACCAACATTATTTCTCTTTTATTATTTGCTAAATGCCAGAATCAACAATTTCCCTGAGGTTCTACCAAAGGGATCAATAAAGTTCTATCTATCTATCTATCTATCTATCTATCTATCTATCTATCTATCTATCTGTCTATCTGTCTATCTATCTATCTATCTATCTATCTAGAATAATGAGAGGGGGAATTTCTTCCTGCTTTTTTTAAAGTCAGAAGTTTACATCCACTAAGATGCCTTCAAACTATTTGGGAAAGCCCAGATGATGATGTCATGGCTTTGGAAGCTTCTGATTGGCTAATTAACACATCTGAGTTAATTGGAGGCACACCTGTGGGTGTATTTCAAGGCACACCTCAAACACACTGCTTCCTTTTGTGACAACATGGAAAATCTAAAGAAATCAGCCAAGATATCAGGAGGAGAACTGTGGACCTCCACCAGTCTGGTCCATCTTTGGGTAAAGTTTCCAGATGCCTGAAGGTTCCACGTTCATCTGTTCAGACAGTTCTATCAAGTATGAACACCATGGGAATGTCCAGCCATCATAGGCTCAGGAAGGAGACAGTTCTGTGTCCAGAGATGAAGTGTTCTGGTTGAAATGTGTGAATCAACCCCAGAACAGAAGCTAAAGACCTTGTGAAGATGCTGCTGAAGCTGGTCAGAGAGTCATTATCCACAGTGGAACCAGTCCTGTACCCACATGGACTATTGTGAGAAGCTTGTGGAAGGAAACCCAGAACGTTTGACCCACGTCATAGAGTTTAAAGGCAACGCTAGCAGATACTGAGGAGATGGATGGAAACTTCTGACTCTGAAGAAAGTAGTAAAATATTCTCTCTCATTATTCTGGTGTTTAGCAAATAGAAATAATGTTGGTGATCCTGACTGACCTGAAACTGTCATGTCTTCACCGGTTGTTTCTGTTCCAGTTTTACTTCCTGCACCTGTTTCCCATCTCCCCTCATTGCCTCGTGTACGTCACCTTGTGTGTCTCACTGTCTCGTCACCAGTTCGTTGCTGTTCACAGTCCTCATACCAGCGTTTATTCAAGTCAAGTCACAGTCTGTTCGATCGCGATCTTGTTTCTGTTTTTTGGACCTTGCCTTTGCCTGCTGATTACCAGATACCTTTGCCTGTGTGACTGACTAGCCGTGTACCGAACCTTGTTTTGACATGAAACCTGCCTTTTTGCCTGAACTCATTCTGAGTCAAGCATTTGTGTCCACCTGTTCTGTCGGTGAGTTCATGACAGAAACAGGAAAAGTTCAGTCTGATTTAATGTCAGATAGTGAGAAAAAAAAAGGTTTTGTGTCTTTTTATACAGTGTCTGTAAACTTCTGGTTTTAACTGTATAGTGCCTCTTTAATTAATTTTCATTTGAGGGACAGAAGTAAACAAATATTTTTGCTTCACTCGCTCCACGTTGGTGGAAGAGCATCACGCTGAAAGCTGAGCATAATTCATGGGTGATGTGAAGCTCTGTTGTGAAACCTGTTTGGTTTATTTCTGGTTTTGCACATACCTGCAAGAAAGTCACTGTTTTCTCTGTTTCCCACAGCTTCTACCCACAGATCCCCCGAAGAAGCCAGACCCTGTCACCTCGGAGACCGTTGTGTTCTGGGGGCTGCGGCTGTGGCAGGTCATCGGCATCTTCTCGGTGTTTGTTTTGGCAGTCGGTTAGTATGCGTTACGAAATCACTGCTGTCATCTGCTGCTATCTTGAGAAGCAACTGCAGCCCGTTGATTACACGGTTTCCTTATCAAGCGCAGCGTGGTCAGTAATAACGACAGTGACGCTAAGTCAGAAAGACAGGGTTTAATTCTGTTAATTCTCCACGTGGGTCATCAAGGTGGAAGCAGAAACAGGGAGACGCTGGTTTTGCTGTTTTATTCCAGTATTGGTTTGGACAATATAGTCACTGTTCAGTCAGAATGGAAGTGCTGCTTTTAAATTTGAGGCACTTTCTTGATTTGTCTCTAAATGTGTGAAAACCTTTTTGGACGAACCTTTGTTTAAAAACCAGGGAACCAATTTCAAGCTAAATGCTAACATGAGCATGATCACAGTGGTAACGCCGGCACACTGATGCCTAGCTGCTAGTTATCAAATTAACGTTCTTAGATTAGCATGTTAGAAAGTTAACATTTGCAATTTAGCATAAATACAGCGAGGGCGGATCAACTGGTCTCAGAATGATTCAGTTTTTACCAACCGAGTTACCGAAAATAACTCTGTTTGATGCATAAATGTGAGATTTCCCCTTAAAACCACACGATTCATCATCAGGGACGTGTCAGCTGGACTGGATAAGTGAAGACCTTCATCTGCTGCAAAGCTTCGTCCCAGCACATCGAGCACTTGCAGACCGACCAGCAGATAAATGTACGTTATGAGACGTCGTCGTGACTGAAAGATTAATTTCCTTTAATGAAGAATCTGCCACGATGTCTGCAGAATAATGGGAGCATTGTGCTTGAGAAAGAAACCCCGCTGACAATCTGTAAAACAATCCAGAGGTTTGAAGACGGAGAACCTGTAAACACAAGAAGTTCTGACTCAGTAAAGTAAATCAACTTGCAGCTTTTGTACTATAAATACTGCTGTGCCTTACGTTTTTGATATTTGCACCAGAACTTATATGAAAGAGTCAGAACTCAAACTGTTATTCTGGACAAAGAGGGGATTCCCGGCATCAAACCGTGGCCCGACTGACGGTTCCACGGTGGAAGCTGGACCGATCCTATCCAGAACTCAGCTCGGCAACCAAAGGCGACCTCACCGTCAGAAGATTCACAGACCGAGCTTTGTTTACGGGCAAATAAATAATCAACCTCACCACAGATACTAAGTTTGCCGGAAAAGAACCCAAGACTCCAATCAACAAAAGTACCAATTAGAAGAAAACAAAACAAATAGCTGGGGTTGGCTCAGACATGCCGGTCTGTCACAGCGGATGAAACAGTCCTGTGCGCTGATGAATCCAAATGAAAGCGTTGTGGCAGTAACAGGAGAGCGTCTGCAACAAACAGCGGAGCGAGTGATCCAAACCCACACGGTGATGGGAATATTCCAGTCTGGAGTGTTTTACTGCTCTGGACACCTGCATAAATTAAAACTCCGTCTTTCAGTGACGTCTGCCACCTCTGGTGTGTCTCTGTGGAGCAGAAGAGTCACACTGCAGCTGGACACCTGAAAGCTTCGCAAGAGCTACTTGAAGACCGAAGAGTGTCGCCTGGCTTCAACGCTGCTGAACATTAAAGGGCACTTGAAGATTGAGAAACTCATCAGAAGCTGTCTGGAACATTGGATGAAGTGGGTTATGTCCATGTAGCTCCTTGTCATGTTTTATTAGTAAAGAAAAATATGTGCAGTTGAAACCAGAAGTTTACATCCACTGTAAAAAAAAAAAGACACATAACCTTTTATTTTTCTCACCGTCTGACATTAAATCAGACTAAACTTTTCCTGTTTCAGCTCAGTCAGGATCACCAACATTATTTCTATTTCTACCAGAATAATGAGAGAGAGAATGTTTTATGACTTTCTTTAAAGTCAGAAGTTTACATCCACTAAGACGCCTTCAAACTATTTGGGAAAGCCCAGATGATGATGTCATGGCTTTGGTCTTTCTATACAGTGCATGAAAGCCTCTGGTTCCAACTGTATGTTTAAATCCAAACCCAGCGCCTGAACTCGTGCTCTCAGACTTTCGGGCACCGCAGCGTATTTGTAACTGAGACTTTAACACCTAGAGCCCGTCTTCATCATGCAAGATGTTGCAGTTGTTGACATTTCCTGGTCAAACAAACTCACCGCGTCTCTGTTTGTGTTCCTCTCTCTCTCCTTCAGTTATCACTCTGTGTTGTATATTCAAATGCCGAATTCCGAGAACCAAAAAGGAAATAGAGGCCCGGCATGCGCAGAGGCAGGCTGCCAAGAAATACGCCAACACATTAGAGACAGTGCCACCTCTGAACGAGCTGACGGAGATCCCAGGATGTGAGTACACCTCGCTAGTAGCTTTCAAATACTAATGTGACTGTAAAACACGAGACCGACAGGTGCTCTCACCCTAGAATTATAAAATAAATACTAATACAACTTGTAAATGACAAGACGGGAGATAAATGTTTGAAAACAGTTTGAATTTTCCATAAATTATGTAGTGAGTTTGAGACAGCTTCACACGAAAGCACATCTAGAGAAAGGATCGATTTTTTTTTCTTTTTTTTAAATCCATAGAGTCTTTCACCACCCTTCACTGCTGTATTCTCACCCTGTTATTAATTCTCTCCATCTCTTCCTTTCACCTCATAAAACCTGCTGGTTTAGTTCTTCTGCTGCAGGATTTTATGCTCTGTTGCACTAAACTTCTCTTCTCTTCTCTTCTCTTCTCTTCTCTTCTCTTCTCTTCTCTTCTCTTCTCTTCTCTCCTCCTTTCTTCTCCTTTCTTCTCGTCCTTCCTTCTCTTCTTCCAGCTACCCCAGATGCTTCTGCAGTGCAGACAGTGTCTGAGCAGGTCCAAAGTCAAAGTGCTAGCAGCAGCCATCTCTCAGAAGTCAGGGTCAGCGAGGAGCACTCTACTTCCCTCACCTTGCCAGAGACGGAATGATATTTCCCTCCTCTCTTTTCTTCTGCTTTTATCTTTCTTTAGACACTCCTCTTGGCCAAATCGCTTCAAAGAAAAAAAAGCATGGAGCATCAACAGCCCCTCTAAACGTCTAATTCATGCACTTATCCCACATGCATCAGTCTGCCCTGCGTCTCTTCCTTAAATGCTGTAAGAACGCAGTAAGAATTTGAGCAATTCAAGTAAACAAAATGCATCTCTCATTCAGCTGCATACCACAGCGCTGGCCAGAAAATAGAGCACAATTTCAACTTTCCAAACTTTGCTTGGTAAGGAGTTGTATTACAGCAGGAGCTGTGTGCCGCTGAATAGATGGAAGACTTTCACTGTGGCTGCAGGATAAATGTGCTGCTTTGGCAAGTAGGATTTCTTTAGGGCAGCTTGACTTTTGTAGTTTAAACTTTTATATTTTCTGAAACTCTTTCTTACATCCTTAATATTTCATATTTTCTGGCTTCATGCACATTTGAATGAAAATGTTCAGAGCACATGGATTTAACTGGATATTGTGAGTAATGCATGCAGCACCCCTCCTGTCTAATGTCTGTCTGTTTTAACATTTGCTTTAAATAAAGCAAATCTCTCACATTATCTGCTACTGATGATGCTGGCTAACAGCACAGGTCTCATCGATTCTGCCTCTTCTTCTTCTTCTCTGCTTGATGTGGACCTTTTAGCTGCTTTCAGGTTGAGAGCAGTGACAAACAAGGACTGACATCTGTCTAGTTGTGTTCCTCTCAGTGATATATTATGCACTCATGAGCACAAATACACTCACTATGAAATTAATTAAGGGAAAAAAAAAATGCACTGAGCTGTCAACGTTCTTCTTGCATCATAATTGAATCCAATAAGATCTGCATTCTAAGGGAGGGAAAAAAATCACATGATGAACCTAGTGTGGCGAGAGACTCTCTTCGATAGCGTCATCACGGACAGTTGATCTAATCTGCAGTAGAGTAGATCGTCTTCTGTGTGCTGTATAACTAATTAACCATGTGGCCGGGAGAGAGGCCGACGGGGAGGCACACTGACTGCAGCCATTATGAACGAGTGAGGATGAACACATATTTATTGGCTGCTCTCAACCGTGAACTCCTAACAAACCGCACTGCGCTCTTCTGCACCAAGTCAGGAGGAGGGCAACATAAATGTACACGCAAATATGCAAATTGCTGCTTTTCTGCAGCGATTACGTCCAGCTGAGGACACGCAGAGATGAAATGAGCAATAACATCTGACTGTGGCGCTGCTGAACGTAACTCAGTAAATATGGTGATTTGAAATGAAACTCATAATCAGGTTTTTTTTTTCCTCTAAAATGAGGCCTTGATTATGCAACAGCAGCAGCAGCAGTGGGATTTAATTAAATGATACAAATGAGGATCAAGAAATGCAATAATATATCTGTCATAAACATACACAGAGAAACTCAGGCTGATGTTGTGACAAGGTGTTGTGGCCCATTAAGATATCATGAAGAAGTTTCTTCTGCCTCTGTTTACTTAACAGGCTCCTAATAGCATCTAAAGAAAGAAACCCAGTGAGCCTTTTTGGGTTTTTTTTTAGCTTCACAGCCAAGATCTGTTTCAAACACAATCAGGCAAAGAGACAGAAGGCACAAAGGTTCAGTCGTATTCTAATATTCCTTCGTGTCCGCCTCCTTCGAAAGCACCAACTCGCTGAATGAAAGAAATGAAAGCGTTCCTCCTACTTGCTGCCTTCATTTATGTCTCATCCTGTTGAGTTCAAAGCACCAAATCTCAAGTAGCTGAAAATGAAGAAGTTTTCTGTCACCAAACATTATTTTATCATAACAAATCAAGTACATTCTCACTCACCTGAAGCTCTGAACCGACAGCGAGGAAACGCAAACTGGAGGTTTGACGAGTGGAGGAAAGAAATTTTACAATAATCCATCAATTACCCATCCATCCATCATCTATACATCCATACACCGCTTAATCCTCACTAGGGTGGCAGAGGACTGGAGGGCTACACTTAGAGACAAGCACACTCACATTCACACCTACGGACAATTTACAATCACCGATTAACCTCCCTCACTCTGTGGGAGGAAGCCGGAGAACCCGGAGAGAACCCACGCTGCACGGGAAGAACATGGAGACTGT